CACACACACACACACACACACACACACACACACACACACACACACACCAGGGTGGGACCATGCAATTTGCTGTTGCACGCAAAGTTGTAGGCAAGCGCACAATTAGGTTCCCAAAAAGAGCTTACATCAGGCTGCCATCCGGTGTGGCCGGCCCTGGTGCACTGTAAGGATGATGGGATTCTGAGATTAGGGAGCAGAACTTGATTAATTACAGTCATCAAGAGGACAATAAGCCGGACGTGGTAATTAGACCAACCGAGAAAGACAACAGGAGCAGATGAAAAGCCAGTTAGGCGATTGTCTCGGGGTCTCTCCCCCCTGGTGTAAGCTGACTTTCTGTCTATTTTGCAGTCGCTGGATTGATTTTTTTTGTCCAGCAGATGCTTCTCTTTGCTGATCTGTGAAAGCTTCCTGGCCACATACAGGAAGTCCTCCGTCCCCAAGAATGTATAAAAAAAAACAAAAAACTTTGCCCTAGATTTCTTCTTCTTCCAGGTGTCTAATAAAAGATAAAGTAAAGCATTGTTGACAAGGATCGAATGTCAATGGGTCACGTTAACTTTATTAAAAATAGAAGCGGGGTTTCACCTTTCTCACTTCTCTTCATTCACATTTCTTTTGTCTTCTCGCCCAGTCATACTTCCTGTTTAGTCTGTATTCATTTCTCCGTGTGTTCATGTGTGAACGTAAGAGAAACAGACCGTCACTTTGTGTTTGTACTGCCAAACATCACAGAATTACAAGTACTGTATCTAAAAGTGTATTAGTGTTAATATAGCAATCACAAGACACATGTGGTCCAGTTTTGGAAGAAAATAAGAAAGAATTATAAGCATTGTTTGTATTAACAGGAAATAACAGAAACAAGAAATTAAGACGTGGCATAAAATAAAACACATTTGAAGGAAGAAAAGAAGTGATGGAATGAATTATTCTTTAAGATATAACTATTAATCTTTGTATACTTGCATGTATATCACATACATTCCTGTATATTAAGTACCTGTACATACATTCATTCACTGTATGTACAATTCTCATTTCCAAATTTGCACTAAACTGAAATTTTAGTATAGAGTATGTGTTCCAGTTGTAGTTTCTAGTATATTTGTATTCTATATTTTCTCCTCGTTGAGCGTCCTTGTGATTCATGCGTTACTTGGCTGCTATAAGACTGCAAGTATGGTTAATAAAGTACTCTCTTTATTTATCTTTCTGTCTGCTTATCAATCTCTCGACTTAAAAACCTTGAAAAACAAACTTAAAAACGTAACTCAAATCATCATTAATGACAGAGGGTGGATGTATTTATGCATTAGAGGTGTGTTCCCAACGGCCATTGATGAAGCGTTTCCACCCTCCAGGACTAAACAGCCGTGACTTATTTCATAAAAACTGTTTTAAGGTGAAATGTGTCCAGATTCTGAATGCCAACACAACGGTGTAGATTCCTGAACACCACCAAGCAGCCAATAGTCTTACAGCAAACCGGCGCACCTGAGAGGTCAAAGTGTGAAGCTAGTTAGATTATTATGAGACAGTAATCGTCTGCTGTTGTCTCTGTGTAACAGACACTAAGGACCTGTGGTGTGTGTGTGTGTGTGTGTTGGACATTCATAATGCCCTGAAGGCTGAACAGGGATAAAGACCAAAGGCAGATAACTCTGCTGAGGACATGAGCAGAGAGGAGGACACGGGAGAGGCACAGGAGAAGGTTGAAGCCCGTCTCCTGCCGTGTTTAAATTAAAAGACGACCATGCACTTTATGGCATAAATGACAAGGTCACAGAGGGTTTGACTTTGACCTGTGCATGCTGCCTCACTACCGACCTCCTGTGGACATCGTGCAGCGGCATGCTGGAGGAACTTTACAGACTTCCTGTTGACCTCGTGCAGTGAGAACAGCTTCCCTTTTCTGCGCAATGTCACATAGAAAAGAAAACCACAGCAGGAGGTTTCAAATGTAATAAATAAAAGAACCACACACATTTTCACAAAGGACTTAAAATTTATAAATATTCTTTCAATGGAACATTAAATCAGCAGGGACGTTTATATAATTCTTCCCTAAAAAAATCCAAGAGATTTTCAGAGAGCATGACAAAGTGACAATAATCTGATACACACGTTGCTTCTCTACTCCAAAAATATCTAGACTTTTTACTGTATATATCCCGCCGTATTTTTCCAAATATATCAAAATATATGCCGACAACAAGCATCAACACAGACCACACACAAAGCAGAATCTCATGGGTTGGTCGGGTGCTTTGAGTTTTTTTTTTTTAAGATCATAGAGCGTCACGTATACTTCCTGTGTGGCATCAGTAAAGGTCACTCAGTGTTTGACCCCTACGTGAACAGAAACAGACTCCTCCCGAGTGCTGGCCCTGCCTTGTTATCAGGGCAACCAAGGACGCAAACGTGTCCATGCAAAGCTGCTATGTAAATTACGTCACATAAATAATAACGTACAATCTAGTCCAGTTGTTTTTTTGTTTTTTTTGCAGGGCTTGCAAGCACTTGGGAGGATGACTCATGGCAACTTCCTTTCCTTCATCTCCTTTCCAGGAAGCTCCTGCACCAAAACAGGTGCAACAGAAGGATGCAAGGCAAGAGGACACGGAGAGGAAGCTGGTGAACGGTGTTGGGACGTGGCCACGAGACTGTTCTGCGGACATAAGATCCCTGCCCTCTAGGGGACAACCACCGTCAATGCACGTCTGGGGGAAAGGCAAGGGTGGCCAGCCGATTTGGATTTGACCGTTATTATATTAAAATGATTTTCTCGCAGCACACTGGAAAACAGTGTGGCTTTAACGACTTAAAAAAGGGACTGTATGACAATCATCAGGGTGCTGAGGGGAGCTATTTTATATTTTTAAAAAAGCCTTCACTTCAATATAAAGATTTTCTTTGGACCCTCCCTAAACTTACAAAAAACTGCAATACTTCAATATCTGAAAATAAAATATTTATGGCGAACGACAAAACAGGGAGATACAGCCATTCTCCATTAGTGCGGATAGCCTTTGAATTAATGTACAAAATGTAATTCTGGGTCGAGGACACTCCCGACAACTACGTCCCTTCAGCAAGAATTAAAAATGCGTAACCCTGCACTTTTTCTCACAGCCCCCCCTCTCCCTAAAAATGATCATACAGTCCTGAACTCCTGACACTGACCCTCTATAATATCGGGCTACATTTAGAGAAGGAAAACCGCTGTACGATCTTCTACCTGGAGCCCAGATGACAGCCCGCCCCGTCTCAGGTGTACCGTCTGTCTCTCCCCTCACAGGGAGAATCAATGAAAGCTCAGGTGACCATGTTGCCATTGCATTCTCCCAAACGTCACACTTAAGGTCAGTAAGGTTCGGCCTGGAGAGCGAGAATTCGTCGCAGGTCAGATTTGACATTTTAAGCGTCTCAAAATGGGGAAAATCAAATCTGTGTGTGACTCCACTTCTGCTCTCCCGTCTGCCAGGGTGTGCGTTGGGCCGGTCTGCACCCCCTGACAACTCAATGATATAAACTAAACAACAGTTACATCTTCGTCAACAACCACCAACTCAACCATTTAATTTCTAAACTTATAAGTTACAAATAAACAGAAACAATTTCTATCCCGGAGCGCAAAGAAACAGGATACAGTTAATCAATTAGACACAGTATTTCCAAATAAGTTAAATTGAAATCTTAATATATTGTATTGTTTACTCCATTTAAATATTTTCTTACTTTAAATATAATTATTACAGATCTTGCAAAAATACTACACTGTGCATTGGCTGTCTGCTTGTTTAAAGAGTGCCCGGTGCTTCCTGGATTCAGATATGTACACTTCATTAGAAATGGAAGGGAGTTCCTCGCGGCCTATTTCCTACAACCTTCAGTCGTATGACGGAATCGAGTCCCTTCATTCTCCTCTTTCTGTCATTTGGTCAAATCTCAATTAACGCTGTGATGACGTCAAACCAATTTGAAACAAAATAAAAAAAGAATGCATATTCTTCTCTTGATTTGTTAAGTTTGTTTTTCCAAAAATAGTAAATCTAAAAATATATTGCATATGCCATCTTAGGAAAT